TCTTCACCCCTGCTGAGGCGCAGTCGTTGTTTGTCCAGACCGGTTTGCCCGAAGATTACATCACCAGTTCACTATAGGACCCGAGAAAAGCAGATACTACCCAACGGTTGTCTGTAAGATCCGCTGCCCAAGGTAGCTCAAGATCCCAAGATTGGTGTCCGTAGCTTCGTAGATCTGCAGCTCGATCTCTTCACCATGGAGAGTTGCAAGGACGTGGGTTTGAGGCTGAGTCTACTTAATTAATCGCTTTGGGCCGTTGGGCTGAGGGTGGCTTCGTTCTTGCGGCCTCCGAAACGCACAAGGATGCAGGTTACAGTTTGCACGCCTTTGTGTGCAAGGTTTTGCGTGGATGGTGGCTTTTCTTTGGTCCGAACTATGTAGCGCAGAGACCCTCTCTCTCTCTCTCTTTCCCTCGCTCTCTCTCTATCTCCGTCTCGCTCTCTCTCTCTCTCTCTCTCGCTTGGGTTTACTGTTACTTAATACTAGTTCTAGCTAGCTCTGCATTCTGCACTTCCAAATTCCGGAATCAACCAGGTTCTTATGAACTTGCTAACCTGCTGTCAGCCATGACCGCCAAGCCAACAATGCCAGAGGTTCTGTTGATCGAATCTCGAATGAATATCTACTTAGCCGCGAACTGGTGCAAAATCTTGCGTGAGCCCCATCTGATTACCGTGCAAGTCTGCTCCAGGCAGTGCCTGAAGTGGTCGAGGAGGCCACGGCGCGCATCATGAAAACTCAGCTTGCGATTCGGAGCATGACGATCCACAGATGCTATACTTCCAAAGCTTGTTGGCTTCCCCGACATGGTGGCAGTGGTGGTTTTTGAAAGGTATACCGGTATACCAGTGTTCTTCGAGAACCGGCTCTGCCCAAATACAGCTATTTAAAGCAGCAAAGCAGTTGCAGATCTGTTGCTGCGCGCTGCTTGCCGTGGGCACTGGTTGTGCTCCCTCTTTAGGCTTTCCGGTTTGGTTCCCAGGTTGAGATGCACCATGAAGTTCCTGGTTGTTCAACACCAAGCCCGTTTGTAAGAAGCACCTGCAGTGGTTAAAATGTCACAGATCGCATTGTCAGATCCCCAAATGCCACCAGCACACAGAGCAAAGACACGCAAAGAAGCAATGACATCCACACGCGGAAACACGCAAAGAAAACAAGACACAAACAAGGATGGGTAAAGGTGTATATATCCATACATATATATATATATATATATATGTATACGTATATTATATGTGCAGCCATTCGGGCAGGTGACATCTGTGCCGGAGCCCGTGACGGCTGCTGAGGTGCACGCGGTTTCATAGTTTGCCAGTTGGAGGGTTTTGGCAACTGAGATTTGCGCATTCCTCTCACGGTCGATACAGGGTGGGCTTGAGGTGGAAATGACCCCGCTTTTTGCTATGGTGCCCCTGTTGCCCAGCACAGCTGAAGATCCCATCATTCGCAAGGCCGCTGTTGATGAACTCTTCACCACTGCTGAGGCACAGTCGTTGTTTGTCCAGAGCGGTTTGCCCGAAGATTACATCACCAGTTCACTTAGGACCCGAGAAAAGCAGATACTAGCCAACGGTTGCCTGCTAGATCCCGTTTGCCCAAGGTAGCTCAAGATTCCAAGATTGGTGTCCGTAGTTTTGTAGATCTGCAGCTCGATCTCTTCACCATGGAGAGTTGCAAGGACGTGGGTTTGAGGCTCCGAAACGCACAAGGGTTCAGGTTACAGTTTGCACGCCTTTGTGTGCAAGGTCTTGCCTGGATGGTGGCTTTTCTTTGGTCCGAACTATGTAGCGCAGAGACCCTCTCTGTCTCTCTCTTTCCCTCGCTCTCTCTCTCTATCTCCGTCTCGCTCTCTCTCTCTCTCTCTCGCTTGGGTTTACTGTTACTGTATACTAGTTCTAGCTAGTTCTGCACTTCCAAATTCCGGAATCAACCAGATTCTTATAAACTTGCTAACCTGCTGTCAGCCATGACCGCCAGGCCAACAATGCCAGAGGTTTGTTGATCGAATCTCGAATTTACTTAGCCGCGAACTGGTGCAAAATCTTCCGTGAGCCCCATCTGATTACCATGCAAGTCTGCTCCAGGCAGTGCCTGAAGTGGTCGAGGAGGCCACGGCGCGCATCATGAAAACTCAGCTTGCGATTCGGAGCATGACGATCCACAGATGCTATACTGCCAAGCTTTAGATCTGAAGCTTTGAACTGACAAAGCAGGGTGATGGTGTTTGAAATACCGGCTTCTTCGCGCAAGCCGCTCTGCCAAAGCAACGGTTTTTGTTTTGTTCATGCCTTTAGTCGGTTGTTGGCTCACTGTATGTATGGCAGCAAGGCATTAGCGGATCGGTTGTTCGTTATTGAGGGTACTTGTTGTGCTGCTGCTTTTGGCTGTCTTGTTTGGTTCCCAGGTTGAGATTTCCCATGAAGTTCATGGTTGTTCGATGCGAAGCTCGTTCGTAAGAGGCATCTGCGTTGGTTCCAAATTCCACAGGCAGCATTGACACATGACCACATCCCATCAACAAACAGAGCAAAAACATGCAAAGACGCAAAGACATTCACACGCGCACACACAAACACACACACACGCACACACACACACACATATATATATATATATATATATATATACATACACATACACTATATATATATATATAGACACACAGACACACACACACACGCACGTGTACACACACAGAGACACACGCAGAGGCACGCACAGAAACACAGACACACACACACACACAGACACACACACACACACCAACCATACACTATACATAGACACACACACACACACGGATAGACACACACACAACGACACACACACACACACGCGTACACACACGTACACACACACAGAGACACACACAGGCACACACAGAGACACACACACACACACAGGCACACACAGAGACACACACAGGCACACACAGACACACAAGCACACACACACACACACCCGCAAACACACACACACACACGCACATAGCCACACACAGACACAAACAGACACACAAACACACACACACACACATGCACGCACACGCACACACTCACACACACACACACACACACACACGCGCGCGCACACAGCGCACACACACACACATACGCACACGGCACGCACACGCACACGCACACTCACACGCACACGCGCACGCGCACGCGCACGCGCACGCGCACGCGCACGCGCACGCGCACGCGCACGCGCACGCACACGCACACGCACACGCACACGCACACGCACGCGTGCA